ATATAAAATATATATTATTTTACCACAAACACTCATTCTTGCTAAATTAGCTCCTGTATTTTATTAAACTATTACTGTGACACAATATTTAAATGGCTTATTTAATTTATTCAGACCTCTTATTGTGTAATCTATTAATTGTTAAGTCCATGAATTAACTTTTTCTTTATTATAAACTAGGGTTGGGGGAGTTTATTCATTTTCTTTTATCCCAAAAACTTGCTTTATAGACTTAAATATAATATAAATTTTTGTTTTATTAGTGTTATTTTTTGTTACATCATCTATTGCTTTTTAAACTTCTTCGGAAATAAATTCTTTCTATTATTTTTTTTTTTAGTTTTATTTTTTATGTTTTTTGTATTTTTTTTTGTAGATACATCTGCAGAATATTCAGCCATTTTTTTTTGTTTTTGTTTTTTTTTCCTTTTTTTTTTTTTATTTTAAATATATTTTATTTTTCTTTTTTAAATTTTTTTTATTTATATATATTATTATGAGTGAGTTACAAAAAATATATTTTTTCTTTTTTAATATAAAAAAGTTAATATTATTTTTAAAATTAAATTTAATATTTTACAAACAAAAATTAATGTCTTCTTAACAAAAAAAAGAAATTTTTTATTTTTTAATAAATATTTTTATATTAATTAAAAAAATTAATAACTTACCATTAAATAATACGAGAGGGGAAAAAAAAAATAGATTTTTTAATATATAAACAAATTGCATATTTTATATATAAAAAATTCAACCATACATAAAGTATTACATTTAAATTAAAATAACAAAGAAAAAAAAGATTAAAGAATGAATGTAAATAGAAAAATATAGAAAACGAAATAATAATATATAAGTGTAAATTAAATAAATTACTAAAAAAAATAAAAAGAAAATATAAAAAATATATAAACAAAAAATAACAATAAAATATGACTGAAAAAGCCAAAAGAAAACCAAATATTTAAAAAATAGGTGAACATAAATACTAATACCGTAATTTTTAAGTCCCTCCCGATGCGCATGATATCGATATTCCAGACGGCGATCCATATAAAGGTTAAAGGGCATACATGAATATGTGTGCTGGTTGCCATGAATTAGATTAAAATACAAGTATGGGACCTGCTTTGAGATATGTCTATATGAAAAAAGCTGGATCTAGTAAAGGATTTAAAGGGTATTCTGGTTTAATGCCTTAAAATTAATTTTATTGGACTAGAAGTGCTTTAGATTAATTTTTAGAAGATCCAGAAAGTATGTTTCCGGATACTAATATGGCTTTTTGGGGGATTAAAGACCCATATGATAGAGCTTGTTTGATTGAATATTTGCATTATTTAAGAACTGAAACTGATGGAAGTATAAGAAAGCCTAAAAGAAATATTATATGATTTTTTTTTAGTGTTTTTTATTTTAAAATAATAGATTTTTTTTATTATTATAAATAATTAAATAATTTTTTTTTATATTCATAATTTTAAAATATAATTATATTTAAATTTTTTTTATTTTTTTATTTTGAAAAAAGTTTAATTTTTAATTTTATTAGTTTTAATTTATTTTTTCGTTAAATATTGATTTCTTTTTTTGTTCTAATAAAATTAAAGTTTTACTTTATTAAATACCAGTCATTTTTATTATTAATTTAAAACTTTACACTTCTAAGTTTCTCTTAATATTATTTGTTGGACAGTAATATAAATATTTATAGATTTTATTTTTAACAATTTTAAACATTTATTATTACATAAATAGATCAACTAAATATATTTTATAACCTTAGTTTTATAATAACTAATTCTAATAAAAATTTATATATAATAAACTTTTTTTATTTTTATAATACATTTTAATAATTAAAAAAATATTGTAAATTATACCTATAATTTACTTATTTATTTATATGTATTAAATGTTTTTTTATATTATAAAAAATTATGTTTATAATAAAGTTTATATAATAATTTTTTAATTCATATTTGTAAATGTATTATTATTAAAAAATCAAATAAAAAATTTTTGAAATTTATTAAATTTTAAATCATTTTTTTAACTTTTTCATATATTAAAATAATTAAAAATAAAGATACTTATTATATAAATATAATATAATTTATAATATATTAAATAAATAATTTTAAAAAAGATATATTATTTTAAATAAATTTATTTAAAAAAAATATATTATTAATTATATTAAAATAATTTATTTATTTTTATTTTTAATATTGCTTTTTTTATATTTTATAACTATTAAATATGATTATTTTAAATAAATTTATATATTTATATGAAATAAAAAAAAAAGTTAAAAAAAATAAAATACAAAATTAAATTAAAATTAAAATTCAAAAAATTTTAGAGTCAACTAAATATATATATATATAATTTTAAATAAATTCAAAAATATAAATTAAAAATTAATGAAAAATAAACTCTGATAAATAAATAGGAAAAATATAAATATTAATATCTTAAATTTTAATTAAAACCTAATTCACATAATATAACATACCTGATCGATATATATATAAAGATTAACTATTATTTATGAGTATATATGTGTAAATTTCGTCATTTATTGGATTATAATACAAGTATAGGCTCATATATAGAATTAATTTATATGTGAAAAACTGGAAAAAGTAAAATATTTTGATAATATTAAATAATTGTTTAATTTATTGAATAAATTTTTATAATATCCTGAAAGAATGTTACCGGTTTTAACTTTATATTGACTTAAATATCTATATAGTAATGTTTTTATTATTCAATATATACGTTATTTAACAAAAAAAACTGATGAAGCAATGAAAAAAAAATAGTAAGAATGTTATTTAATATATTTATTATATAATTAAAATATAATAATATTAATTATTTAAGAAATTATTTATTTTTAAATAAAAAAAAATTATAAGATTAAATTTATAAATTAAATAAATATAAATTTATAATGGATATTTATATATTTTTATTTTATTAATATGATAATTTTATATGTTTATTTTTATTTTAAAAATATTTTTAATATATAATATAATTTAAATTATTTAAAATTTAAATTTTTTAATTAAATCAAATATATTTTTTTTCTTAATTAATTAATATATCCAATATATCCATTTTTTTTATTTCTTTGAAATTATTTTATTTTTGATAAAAAAATAATATTTTTATCTTTTAATTTCAAATTATATTAGAATTTTAATATAAATAATTAGTTTTTTTTTTTTTTTCAGAAAAAAAATATAAATTTTATAAGATATTTTCTATATAGCAATTTAATTATTATTTTGTTATTATATTTTATAGTTTAATAATGACAAAATATATGAGATTATAAATAAGAATAATAAAATATTTCTTTAAAATGATAAAAAGAAATATATCATAATAAAAATATGATAAATAAATAAAAAATAAAAAAAAGTATATTTAATATAAAAATTAATATTTTAATAAAAATAATAATTTATTATATATTAAAATAATTAATTAAATTAACATAATTATAAAATATAAATTTTTTAATATTTAATATAAAATAAAATGTTTTTTTATTATTTTTTAAATTTAAATTATTTATAATAAAGCGGAAAGTAAAATTATTAATTAAATAAATAAAACTAAATTTTAATATAAAATATACATTAAAAGTATAAATATAAAAATATAATATATATATCATAAATATTATTAAAAAAAATTATATATTATATTCGAAAAATCAAGAAAAAATATATATATATATGTATTTTTATTTAATTATTTTGAAAAAGATTTAAAATTTAATTGATATATTATTATTAAATTATATATTTATTGATTTTTTCAAAAAAAATTTTGTCATTTAAAATTTTTTTTTTTTAAAAAAAAAACAATATTCAATAAAAATTATAAAAAAAATAAATAAAAAGTAAAATAAACATTTGTTCATTAAAATAATATATATAAATAATATAATGCAAACTATAGAAAACAACAATAATAATGTAAATTTAAAAAAATAAAAAAAATGAATAAAAATAATATAATTTAGTAAATAAATGAATTTTATTTAACATAATAATAATGTATTTTACTTAATGAAATTCTTCCAAAAGGCTATTCCCTTTAATTTTCATCAAAACCTACAAGGGCAAAATAAAATTAAGTACCTGATTATTTAAAATCACCTGTTAAAAAAGTAAAAAGAATAAATTTAAAAAAATGAAGAAAATAATATTATATATATTAATACATAAATATATATATATATATATATATATATATATATATATATATATATTTATATGTATATTTATATGTATATAGTCAAGAAATAGAATAAATTTAGATTAATTTAAAGATATTTAAAAAATTTAAAATTAAAATTAAAAAATAATTCGAGAAGAAAAATAAATATAATAATTAAATGAAATTATACAATTACTTAAAAATCATGCTTAATCTGAACCTTTTTTAAACCCCGTTAATCCAATAGAGTAGGAATGTCCAGATTATTTAGTTGTTGTTAAAGAACCGTTGTGTATTATGGATTTAGAAGATAAATTAAAGGGGAGAAAATATGAAAAAATTGATTAATTTTTTACAGATATTAGAAAAATATGGAGTAATAGTTACAAATATAACTAAAAAGGTTCATAAATATACTAAATGACATAATAAATGGATAAATATAGCTAACAAATTATAAAAGAAATGTAAAATAAGTATAATTTAATAGTCGATATATAAGAAGAAGATGAAAAATAAAATATTCCAATGAGTATGTAGGAGAAAAAAAGACTTGGATAGAGTATTTTGGAATTACCTGTAGAATATTTAAGAGGTATATATGATATTGTAAAAGATGAGACTTATTAGTAGTGTAATGAAAAAGAATTATGCTTAGATATTGATAAATTATCTGTAAAAAAGACAAGAGAGTTAGAATAATATGTTAAAAGGTAAAATATTATTATTAATAGAAAATTAAATAAAAAATTGGAGAAAAATTCAAGGAAAAATAAAAATGGATTTTAAGGTATTTTTTTTATTTTTTTTTCTTAAATTTTTTTTTAAATTTTATTTTTTAAATTTTTTTTTTAATTTTTTAATAATTTTTTTTTTTTTTATATTTTTTATTTTTAATTTTTATTTTTAAATTAGATTAAGAATAAGTGGTTTTAAATAAAAAATAAAGAAATGATAAAAGTATTTAAAAGGATAAATTAAAAAATGGATAAAAAGTTTAAAATAGGAATTTAGATAATAATTAAAATGGTATTCATAAAAGAGATGTTAATAAAGAAAATCAATAAATTAAAAAAACTAATAACAAAGAAAACAGTAAAAATGCTAATAATTCTATAAATAATAATTCGCCTAATAATAGTGGTATTTTTTATTTTTATTTTAATTGTAATTGTTATTTTTATTTTTATTATTATTAGATAGAAACGATTCTGTAAATGTTTGATTTATGTTAGAAATATAAAATTTTAAGCTAATTTATATTTTATTTATATTAATAGTTATATATTAATAAAAAAAAATCTTTATAAAAGTTATATATATATTTAAAAATTTATAATATTATTATAAAACTAATTTTAATTAATTTAAATATAGTTGTTTATAAATATAGATATAAAGATATTTTTATATATAATAAATTAATTTTTAATATAATTATATTTTATTTATAATTTTAGATATATACTTTTATTTATATATGTAATATTTATAAATATATTAAATAAAACTTTAATTTAATTTATAATAAAAAGACATTACAATAATAATAAATACAATTAAAATATAATTATATAATAATATTTTTTTTATATAAAAATGCATATAATATATATATGTGAAAATTAGTTGATTTAATCAATATTTTTATTATTTCATTTTAGAATATTCTAAAAAACCTGATATAAAAATAATATATATATATATATATATATATATATATATATTAAAAAAATACTTATTTTTTTATTATTTTTATTTAGATTATTTGCACTTTAGTTTTTATTTAAAATTCTCCCTTATCTACATGAATTTGGACTATTTATTTTTCTACTATTTTTTTCTATTTATATATTAAAAATTTCATCTTATTCCTTAAATGAAATTCTTTTTTGTGATTTCTATTAATATTTTAAATAGTTTTTTAAAAAACAAATTAAATATATACTTTAATATTATTATTTTCATTTATTTAAGACTGATTCGGTGATTAAATAAGTGATTTTTTAAGAATTGTTTTAGAAGATAATATTGAGTTGTTATTATTTATTGTTATTTTAGCTCTTTTAATCTATAATTTATAATGATTAACACGTATTTTCCTTAAAAAATATATTCCTAATCATTATCCTGTTTATTATTTGTATTT